TTCTGGAGCCCAGAGCGCTGCCTGGTGTGTAGACGCTTCATCACCATCCGAGGCTGAGGTTGCCCACGAGCTTTGCCTCTTAAAGCGCTACAAAGCCCCTGGCCTAGATAAACTCCCTCTGGCTTTTTTCAAAGATAGTGGCCCATCACTTGTTCAGGAGTTAACCTCTCTCCTCCAAGAGATCTGGGTCACTGAAGTTATCCCGTCTGTTTGGAGCCTAGCGGATATCGTGCCCGTCTTCAAAAAGCGTACCCAAACTGACTGCGCCAACTACAGAGGGATTAGTCTCATCTGTGTTGCTTCCAAGGTGCTCGTAGCTCTGCTTTTAAAGTGGCTCAGCCTGGTGCGCGAACAGAGCATACGTGAAGAGCAAGCTGGGTTCCGCTCAGGTCGGAGTTGCATCGATCACATCTTTACACTCCGCTAAATACTCGAGCATCGTCAAACATCTGGCTAGCCGACGATCGTTGTCTTCTTAAAAATACCAGTCTGGTTTGACTCAGTCGACGCAACTGCTCTCTGGAGTTGTCTACTAAGAAGGAGAGTGCCCGAAAGGTGTGTAACCTTACTTCAAGCCATCTATCTCAAACCAAGGCCGGGTGTGTGTACGGCATTTCGCCCCCCTTTAGGAACCAGTGGCGTGAGACAGGGTTGCCCAACATCCCCTTGTTCAATTTCGCTATGGACGAAATCCTGGAGAGTGCTCTGGAGAACTGCGAACCCAGCGGCATCGAACTGCTTCCGAGGGACCGACTAAGGGATTTGGAGTATGCTGATGACATCGCCGTAATCTGCTATTCCTCACAGGCCGCCTAAAATGTCCTCTGTAGGTTGGAAGTGTCTGTCTCCCAGTTTGGAATGACCTTCGCACCATCGAAGTGCAAGGTTTTCCTGCAGGACTGGCTAGGCGCTGCTCCTTCCCTTACCCTTCTAGGTTATTCATTGGAAGTAGTGGACAAGTTCGTTTACCTCACAAGCTGCCTCAGCGCTAATGGTATAACAGATGAGGTCTCTTTTCCCCTCTCCAAGGCTCAGGTTGCTTTAGCCAATTCCGCCATCTCTGGCGTCGAAGCGATCTGAGTCTGTATCTGAAGGGCTGAGTTTACAATGCCACAATAAGAGCGGTTCTGCTCTATGGCTGCGAGACTTAACCTGTTCGCGCAAAGCATGTTGAGAAGTTGTCTGTTTTTGATCACCGCTGCCTTCGTTGCATTGTTATTGTACAATCGCAACGTCCCACTAGTAACGAAGATGTTCGACGGAGAATTTTCAGATCAGACAGACTTTGCCGGCCACTGTGCAGCAAGATTTCTCTGCGCAGACTTCAGTGGCTTGGGCATATTCTTCGCATGCTTACTCATCGCTTACCTCGCCGTGCCCTCTTCGCGCGCGCAGAAGTCGGCTGGAAGCGAAAGCAAGGTGGCCAACGTATGACTTGCGACAGTAGCATGAAAGAGCTAACGTCAAGATTAGCCGTGGTCGGACGCTTTCGGCTCCATGGCTGAAGTGTGAAGGATCCGGAACACGCATGGCTGAAAACACTCGGATATGGCAAGAAACCGTGCGCAGTGACGGACTTGTTGTGATTCTCTATTCCCATAAACACCGTTTCTTTTTCCCCTCTCCCTTCGTTTGTTTATTGTATTATCCATATGTTGTGGCACTATGCTAATTGTACTACTGGCGGTTTTGAATATATATATATATATATATATATATATATATATATATATATATATATATATATATATATATATATATATGGTTGGCGGCATCCGCGTTCTGATTTGCCTGTCACTGTGGCCAGCCACAGGACGCCTGCGCCTACGGAGAGACCATGGGTGGCTTGCGCTGCACCACCCACAGTTCCATCCACACACTCCATATCCAGTGTAAACCCGAAAGATTTAGACGGGGAGGTATGTGGATGGGAGATAGGTTTCATCAACGGAGCCGGCCCACATTCCTTCACAGGCAAACACAAGCACGCTGTATTTGAGAATCAATCGCACACAAGGCGATGGCTGGACCGTAGTCCGCTCCACACTAAGTGCATGGAACCAATCTTTGATCCTAACGCGGCCACAAGGACGGTGTACCGCGTCCCCTCCAGCAACGACCAACTGTCTCCTAGAGACAGTATGGACGAGGTATTGGGTAATAGACGGGTAGGCACATCAAACGCAGCCACCAATAGTTGTATCCTCAGGTGAGCAATGAAAGTGCGATGGCACAACGGTTCAAAAGCTGCTCATCAGTCACTTCGTGTGGTACAAGTTGTCTGAGCTTTGGAACCATTCCGGGTTGGTGCTAATGGTGATGGACGGTTACGTTTGGAAGGCCAAGGTGTGACGAAACTTCACGCACACTTTGTATCGGATCCACCTTCACAGCATCCGAGATGCTGCTGACAAAGTCCAATGGCTTACATCCTTAACCTCCGAGATTTGATAATTCATAGTTTCCTACTTTGAATCAACGAAACCAAAATTTCACCATAACTTAGAGCATCTCTGCCTAATACGCCACACATATTTCGACAAGCCTGGATCGCATTACGCCATTGTATGAACTCGTACAATACGCATCCGCAAACAGCGTGTTGATCATTTGTCAATACCGCAGCCATTGCTTAGATGGGGAATAGATGAACAATGTGCGATTACTGTTCTAATGTGCCTCTTTGTATTCCCATATAAAAGAATCTTCCATAAATTATAAAATGACATTGCAATAGTCATTTGGTTTTGTGGCAACCTTATATATGGTTGGCGGCATCCGGTTTCGGATTTGCCTGTCACTGTGGCCAGACACAGGACGCCTGCACCTACAGAGGGACCATGGGTGGCTTGCGCTGCACCACCCACAGCTCCAACCACACATTCCATATCCAGTGTAAACCCGAAGGAATAAGACCGGGAGGCATGTGGATGGGAGCCACTTTTCATCAACGGAGCCGGCCCACACTCCTTCACTGGCAAACACAAGCACGCTGTATTTGGGGAATCAAGCGCACACAAGGCGGTGGCTGGACCGTAGTCCGCTCCACACGGAGTGCACGGAACCACTCTTCGAGCCTAGCATGGCCACAAGGACCGTGTACCGCGTCCCCTCCAGCAACGACCAACTGTCTCCTGGAGCCAGTATGGACGTGGTAGTGGGTAATAGACTGGTAGGCACCTTGTCAACATGCACATCAAGCGCAGCCACATCGGGGATATCAAGCAACAGCCAATCACTTGAAACGACAAAATGAAATAAACTAAATCCAATAATGCATACAGTTACGGTGGCATAACTCTTCGCTAAATTAACATATGAAGTAATTTGGTTAGCAATGAATCCGCGATAAGGAAAAAGAATGTCCACAAGTTACTTAAAATGCTACAAACGCAACAAAATTACCGAAGATAAGCGCAATTAGCGTAAACAACGTGGTCAGCTAATAGAAGACTATCCAGATAGGCAAAACAAACCAAATAAACTGGAATAAAATTTATGCAGCTTAAAGAGACCTGGTTTAAGTGTAAGTTGGTTTAGCCCAACTGCGGTGAAGAAGCATCAAGAATGCAATATCAGCCTCAGCATGGGGCACAACCTTATATATATATATATATATATATATATATATATATATATATATATATATATCAACGGTCTACAGATAAACATGGAACCGGCAAAAACAATGTTAGGTGCGGTTATTTTAGAAAGAAAACCGAACACAACTTAGAGAAATCCATGATTTTGTCAGAGGGCTCCATACTCCCCGGTTGTTCAAATCGAAGTAAGGAGTTGACTCTTGTGACACGGCGATGAGTCTTTGGCTGAATGTCACCCGGAAGACAGCGGTGCAAAGTCAGGAAATCGCGCCCTTTAGAAGTCCTCGGTGACTGCTCAGTTCATACGCCTTTCGTTTGGTCGATTACCAAACGGAGGCCCAATTCTTCCCACGGTTTCCATAAGTGGGTGCCGGAATACAGCGCTTCACCGGAGTGAAGCAGGGAACAGTGACTATTTAATGGCGAGCCAGTTTTGTTAAACAGACATATGTGACAAAATTCTTGCCAAACGAAAACCCACCACATTTTGAAACGCTGTCGCCGAGCCATTCGCTAGAATGGTGACACCCCGAACCACCTGGCTGGCACCACGAGGAGGTTGTTTAGCAACTTAGCCCGCATTGTTCGAAAACATTGTTGCCACGGTTCGTCTATTGGGATGGATTTATCAGATTACCACGGTATACGAATGGGCTGTGTATTTGCCAAATAACTTAAAAACAGCACGCCAGTTGGAGGAACTTCATGCAGCGGAATATTCTCGTAACTTGTAATCTCAACTGTGATATCCGTTGCTCATTTATTTTGGGGGGATGTGTCGTCCATTACATCCGTAACGTCAGTTCATCCCACTAGTCAACTAAACACGTTATATACTCCAACCTCGTAATTTACATTGACCTGTTTGGGCATCCCATTTTTTGTACAGGCAAACACAATCTGTTTGCTGTCTACATTCGCCTCTGTTTTTAAACTGAACTGTTGACATTTGTTTGTGTAGCGTGATCATTCCTACTTTTAATCAGATAGCAACCCCTGTCACACATGTGAACGATACTTTCATTCAACTTATCGTTGTTAGATTAGTGATTTTATTCAAAGACCGTTCTTTAAAGTAATGCAAGACCCGGCTTACACGTGTATCTCAACACACGGTGGATTTGCTCCGCAACGTCCCTCATGTCTCCGTGACAAAGAGTAACCCGCTGTAGTCAACCACGTGGCAAGCAGCTCATGATGGGGATGGGCACGCGTGACGGCGGCTTGTCCCAAATGCCTCATGGTCAGCTTATTCAGCTTGCATTGCCATGAAAATTGCCAATCTTGTTTTTACTGCTTACAAATTCGCTATTGATTCCTCTAGTTAACGGTTCCACCTCGTTATTTTGCCCCTGATGTATTTCAGACTAATCGAAATTTTCTTTTGTATTTTTGCAGGAGTTTTTCCTCCTCATCATGCGCGATCTCCTCAGCCCGATCTACGGCATGTTCCGATTTTATCCGGAATCTCGAATGCTCTGGTTCAACGAGACGGTAGGCACTGTGTTAGCTGCGCTTTGTTGTGCTCGGAACTAGCCGCTTTCGACTACCAGCTGGCACTTAATTGAGATACTATATCGTTTTATGCAATACTTCTCTTGCCGTAACTATACGTCGCTGACTTTACACCGTTCTGAATGAGGTTACTTTGCTATTTATTCTCAATTAAATCATCTATTCTTGTTCGCGTGACCGTTGAAATCTAACTAGGCAAGATCGTCCCCGTGGAATCCCAGTCTCTAACTATCAAGCCTGACGCATTCAGCGCTTATTCCCCAGCCATTATTGCACTAAAGAGATGTGTGAATCGGCAAAAAATTATGTGACTGATCGTTTCAAGTCGGTTCTCATTTACCCGATTCCGGCGTTCTCACATTATTCACATGATAATCTAACTTTTTGGACAATCCTCAAATGAAACCTAAGGTTTAGCACTAGCGTCTTGAAATTTGTTATGTACACAGAGCACTTGTGCGTGTTCTTGCGTTCTTCTAAGGAATGGCTCTGCCGTTTCAAATCCGGTAGTATTTTTCACTTCAGTTCGTGCGTTACCTTATAGGCGGCAACCGGATGTCACATGAAGCTGTTCGTTTCTCCTTATTAGTTATTGTAGTAGTAATAATTAATGGCTTATCAAGTTATTGGAAACTGTCTTTGTAAGTACATATTGGTCCAAAAAATTTCGCATGATTGTTTGTGAAGGAATGGTGGGTTTCCATATTATTCTCATTCCTGCGCTCCACGACCGACGGTTTTGTCCTGGTTTGTACTCATCAGGTACAGATAACCAAGCTTGAAGTAGATTTCGGCACATAATGATTGGCGGTTATCGCTATGATCACTAGACCATTGAGCTCTGCGAGTACAGCTTGACGCAGCGGTTAGAACTTGATAGTCCGGTTTTTGGAGCATCCGCCGTGTGCGATCACTGTCCTCTTTCCGGAATAGATTGATGGAACAGTCAGCGAGATACGTGGAAAATGGATTCTGTGTCAAAACAGTATATATCTAAAGCTTTCTGGAGATGTGGCGGTGTCCAAGCACACTGCGAAACGACTGATAGTGAATGGACAACAAACAATGCGGCCGGAGTGCACCACAACAGATGGAGCCTCAGCTAAGCGAAAATGTGCTATTAGAGCTGCATAAGAGGAAAATCAATTAATCAAAAACGGTGAATAAATTGTGCATGAATAATACGGTCACTATTGTTAGGAATATTGTATTCCATATTTGTTTTTTGTTAGAGATGCTTACTAATTTTAACATGTTCTTTCTACATCGCTACGTTTACACTTACAATTATGTTACCATGCATGTGGTTTTATCTTAAAGGCAACCACTATATCTTCATGTATCTATCGTTGTAAAAGCATTTAGCCTCATGTGCAACAGTTACGTGAACAGGATACCAATTTCCTCGCAATCTGTGTCTGGGACCTTCTTACTCTGCTCAATGTGTTTGCTTGTTACATGAGGTTAATCTGTTCCGGTATTTTAGACCACTCTTAAGAGTTCCTGGTGTCTGTGCATTTATATTTTTTGTGGGCACAATAGAACCCGTGAGACATCGTAGAGGTAATCGACTGCACCCGATTTTTGCCTGATAACTTAACTACCCTAGACTGCTCTGTTTCCTTTATGAGCAATGCTCCAAGTCCAAAGACATCAGCGGGTCGGGCCATTCGATCTCTGTCACGCAGACGGCTAACAGGGACGAACCTTGTCGATCTGCCTGAAGAACTAAACTCCGGTCGAGCCTGATTGCCCCAATGTTGTGGGCGCTACACGATTCAACTGTAACGAGTTTGACCGTTGTCCAAAAATTATTGACCTGTTCCATTCCAACACCAGCTTCTGTAGCTACCATATCGAAATGCGTCCTCACTCTGCACGCCTCATTTTTTATTCCCTTTGTGGTTCCATGTTTTATATCACCAACCCTTTCCTAAATCACATAAATTCGACTTTTTTCCTTTGACATTTCGAGTTCGTTTACTTTTTCCGTGGTCTCTACTTCCCTACTGTTTGCTTTTTCATTTTTAGACTCTAGAATCCGACACCGTCTTTCTACTTGTGGGAATTCTCTGTGGATTGGCTATTTACAATTCAATCATTGTGGACTTGAGTTTTCCCCTGGCAATGTTTAAAAAACTGTTGGGCTCCAAAGCGGGGCTAGACGATCTACACGAATTGGATCCTGTGTTGGGCAGGTCTCTACAACAGTTGCTTGATTACGGTGGCACGGACGTAGCCGAAGTATTCTGTTTGTATTTCTCTGTAAGCACCCTTCGCGGCGGCTCAATTTTATCATGTTTGTCGGCGTTTGCACTCCCTTTTAAATGTTTTTCTTTTGCCTTGACTAGAATAGTATCCATTCAGCGATAGATACTGTTGGCACCCGACCCTCTTTATAAACAGCTACTATGTATCTGTCCACCCACATCATCGATGCCTTCGCGGTAACTGTTCTACCAGTTGCCACACCTATATCACCTGGAGCGCTTTGTTTAGATTCTTCTCTCTTGCTCAACCTTTTCCCCCTACTATTCCACTAACTGTACCCGTCGCTAAAGTCGAATGAACGTCCCATTTTTTCTTACGACATCGTCCGGGTTGTTTTTCGATAGTCTCCGAATAGCTTGCTACTGAATTCCATTGCACCGATTTGGTACTCACTGCAAGTTGCTTCTGTAGCATTTTATCTACTTTAAATTCCATACTTTCTCTCTCTACTACAGCTAGATGTTGATTTCTTCGGTGAGATCCGTCACGTTGATCTGATCGAAAACGGTTCCACCGTCGCGGTTACACAAGAGAACAAGACTTTGTACGTAGAAAAATATGTGGACTATGTGTTTAATCGATCATGCGAGTCTCCTTACCGGGCCTTTGAGCGCGGTTTTCACCAAGTCTGCTCTGGACACGCACTCAAATTTTTCCGCCCCATGGAATTACAGGTACCCACTCTTGGTCTGTCTGCCCTGATGTGGTTCACGCGCGCTTTTGCACTTATTAGCCATCGTATCGATTCTGTGTGCACGCATCTTGCAGTCCTAAGTCGGAAATGTGTGTTTCGTGTTCAACTCAGTAGTTATCGCATCGGGACCATTTGTTCCGCTTGGTTTTCTTTCGCTGTCATCAACGCCATCGTGTCCCTGCATTGCGTCTGTCCACAGCCTCTTGACGTTATGCACCCCTGTGATACCTTCAACAACACCTGCTCATGTCTCTTTGACTTGTTATATGCACCTGAGTGAGTTGTTTTGCGCATTACACAAGGCGGTGAATTTGCGTGTAGAACTTGTGCATCCGTGAACAACAATCAAGCAGCGATTGCGGGGGGTTACACTGTGTGAGTAGGCGCATAATGCCGCACGCTTCGGCACGTGTTTAGCATCTTCAAAATGCAAGGTCTCATCAACGGTGCTCACTATGATCGAACGGTCTCTGGCGGTGACATCACTGAAGCGATTACTGCACACGCGTTGCGACAACTCGTGTGGCTTTTCAAAGCTGCTTCGGTCATTTATGAAAACTGCTTTGATGAGCCTATTGTTTAAAGGAAGGGCTTACAATGCTGCGGGTGTAATCAGTCCTGCTGTATAAATAAATATATTGTTTATTCTCTGCAATGCAGGTCACGCCCGCATAGGCGCGTGATCATGGTAGTACAATCATGCATAGGACAGAGATCATAAGCTAATCGGCAAAACAGGAAGCTGTTCCGTTAATGCTTAGCTGGGAGGACACGTGTGGCACATGGAAGTTGAACGGAATGTTTTGTTCCGATAACATTGGACGCTTCAGTTTTACATGATGAAACGTGTCGTCGGATCCTTTTGCAGGCCGATAAACCGGTACCAGAAAAATATTCGAAGACCGTTTGTGGTCGACAGTATCATGTGCCTAAATCATTGCACTGATATGGAGCAAATTCACTTAAGCATTAGAAGTTACGAAAATGTTTTGCGGAGCGCATTGGCAGGATCAAACTCTTTCTTTGCATTCTGCTTGTCTGATGCGTGGCCAGTGTTGCTGAACACAGTGTAATTATCCGTAGAAAGTAGAAGTCACGATTAAACTGCACACAATAATCTGCCTCGACGGGGAATCGAACCCCGGTCCCACGAATTTCCGGTCCGCTGCTCTACCACTGAGCTACCGAGGGCTGACGATTAGGTGCACAGTTTAATACATGACTTCTGCTTGGTGCGCGACGTATTGCCAATGAGCTCACAGTAACTGTCCTGGTGTTGCAGATTGGCTCACTCACTCGTCACTTCCCAATGGACCGAAGTAACTGTCCTTCTGAAGTCCAAAGGGCGATGGTAGATTACTTGAAGGATGTTTGTGAGTAGCGTAAGGTTCGTAGAAAGTAGAAGTCACGATTAAACTGCACACAATAATCTGCCTCGACGGGGAATCGAACCCCGGTCCCACGAATTTCCGGTCCGCTGCTCTACCACTGAGCTACCGAGGGCTGACGATTAGGTGCACAATTTAATACATGACTTCTGCTTGGTGCGCGACGTAATTAGATTTCCTTCGCTTCTTCAGTGCTCTTACTGCACGGGAACATCTGATGTTAGTCGCAGTAGCCCCATTCCGCAGAATTATGCAGGCCACCGACCGATTGTTAGCACGCTCCAGAGAGAAAGAGCCGAAGCTCCCTACGCCGTTCATTCAACTGGGTTTTTGATAATCTTCGGGAATACTTGCGAATATTGTACAGAACGAGTAAGATTGTATTTTCCGGAGTAGTGAATAGCATGAATGAGGAAACCCCATTAGGAATGTGATGATAAAAATGTTTGCAGATATCACTCAGATGCATGGCTGCTGCGCGCTGATGAGGTTAGAAGACGGTGTGTGTTTGACCACCGAGTGCCTAATACGGAAATTGGTCAATTGGTGGTTGACAGCATTTCATTCCACATGTGTCTTCCCAGCTGACCATAACTGAACAAATTCCTATTCTTCCGATCAGCTTATGATCTCTGTCCTATACATGATTGTACCACCATGATCACGCGCCTATGCAGGCGTGCCTCGCAGTGCAGAGAATAAACAATCTGGTTATTTATACAGCAAGACTTACACCGTAACTAATAGGCTCATCCGCGCCGTTTTGATAAGTGACGGAAACAGCTCCGAAAAGTCACACAGGTTTAGCAATACGTGTGCAGTAAGATCTTCGGTGACGTGACCACCAGAGGTGAAAAAAACGGATCGAGTGCCTGTTGAACTCGGGCCGCCTGTATTCACGCGGCCCTGTGCTCTGCATGCCTGTTACCTAGTTGCCTCGAACATGTAATGTTTATCAGTACTGCGCTTAGTTGAATGAAACCCCGCGGTGGTCAGACAGTTATACGGTAAAAGAGTGCGAAGGGATGAATCCGATTGGCGCTTGGCCTCTTCGAGGATGGGGTCCTCGGGACCGGCCACGTTATTGGTTGGATATCTTATACGATAAGGCGCTGTGACAGAATCAATGTCGACCTTGCTCTTACTCCCTCATTTTGGACCCCTGAATATTCCATGTCACAATTTAATTTGCTGTTTATTCCTCCTGAACGATCATTCTTATTACTACAAGTGTGATGTGTGTCAAGGTATCCACTGCACTCCTGGCACGGATCAAAGTTGCCAAAATGTTCTGAACTGAACTGTCATTCCTGACTTATTTGCCTTTATGAGATCGTCCTCTTTGTTTCCATCCCTTCTCCAAACTCCACTCGCATATATTTGGTGTCATTCACTTGCTCCCAGTCATTGGCCGAATTGGTTCACACAATAGCTTACTATGATCTAGTTTTTTCTGCTGTATTCAGGTGCCTATGCGCACTGCTCTGCTTTAAAGATGGTCTAAGGTTCTCTGGTCAGTTTTACGAGTCCATGTGCTTTGCCATCTCTCTGCTTCTGACTCTCAGAACTGTACAGTAGTGTACCCTAGGCTCTCTCGTGAGCTCATCGCGATACTGGAAATTGCTACGTATTGTATTATTTCCGTAGTGGAGATTCTACGAGGTGACTGAGGGCCAGGCTTCAAACACCAGTGACATGGATTTCACTTTGGATCCTGATCCTTTGCCATCGCTTCTGAATAAGGCTTCATGCATTACATCTGGACTTCAATGACACACTCCTTATCTTCGCTATTGCCGATCAACCACTCGAATTGTCGAGTCTGATGAGTTGTTTTGTGATTTCGTCCTAGGGTGGTTACGCAATCTACTGCAAGCATGACATTTTATCAATCCATTATTCTATCGAGATAGTGTGTTATTGCCTTCGGTCATGGGTTGTGCATCCAGTGTTAGTGCACAGGCTTCAGGACAAGATCATTGCGTTTTAACGGCATTGAGTAATATCTACTTATAGTGGACTGCCGATGGCTTACCTTAACTGTTGCCGGGTTCTGCTAGCGTGCGCCTGGTCATTCTAGAGCAGTGCTGATCGTTGTTTTTTTAGTCAGGCAGTCGTTCACCGGATCGAATTACAGAGTTGAATGAATTCTAAGGTGTGAGTATGGGTCAGTCGACCAGGTAAAGCAGCCGGCGAATGTTTACAAGGTAGAAGGGACAAAACAGGCGATTGGTGCTCAGTACGTATCGATGCAAATTGGTGATGGGAAACTTTCATACAGAAAGGACTTGGAAGGGATAATTGAAACAAATCAAGAAAGTCGAGAGTGCTTTATGACTCATATTCAGCCACATGATATCTGATCATGTTTGATCAGGAATCACACATCAAAGCAAAGAAGTGAATAAACTTGGAGCACGATTGGCGATGTAGCTTAGCCGAAACCGCGACAATTATGCCAAGAATTATAATAATTGAGCAAAATCAATCGTCTCATTAACTATTTAAAGGTTGCTCAAAACCTGTTTTTATTAATTTGAACGATCGAAACTAATTAAAACCAGTATTCATTTACCGTAATTTATAACAAAATGTAAAACTAAATTTCTTGGGGATAATTGATCATGTTGAACCCACTTTGTTGTTTGAGAACCACGGTTCTAAAGGTTAGATGCTCACAAGTAGAGAGTTTGACCTAGTCGATGCGGCATACGGTCTCGATCTCTGGTGGTGCACTTCTTTGTCTTGCTACTGGTTAGATTATCATCCGATTTTGAGCACTGCCTACACTAAACTGTATGATAAGGTATTTGAGAAGTGTTTCGGCACATCACTGTCTTGGGCCTGAACAACCTCGTTCGTTCAAATCTAACAGAATCGCTCTCCTTTTGTCATAACTTGAGTATCGAACGTGCTTTCGTCACAGAGACTCCTTCTTTAAGGTCCGTATACAGTTACTTCATACTCGTCATACTTCCACCCATTTGCTGTCCATACCTACTACGTTTTGTTTAGTGTCCGTTGGTGTTCGGAAGAAACTAAAATATGTCAAGAAAGCTCACTATTTCAAAGTGAGTGATTTTGGCCAATGGTGTGTACCCGAAGCATCAGGTCATTCCTAGAGCATTGAAGTTCATCACGTGACGCGCACACCCACCTTCTTAAGATGCATCAACAGTACCAACGCTTCGCTGCTGCGCAACCACCACCAGTTACACGTAAGTTAATAATACTGGGATAGTCGCCTGGTCCCTATGCAGGCTTGAATCCGCGCCGTCGGATTACACAGCAGGCTTGTGATCCTTAAGGCTACCAAACTACAAATGAAGGCAGCTGACTTGTTCGTTATGAAATTGGACATTCTCGGGTTGGCGCAAATATCCGTTCGCTTTCGCACTACGTTTACTAATTTCAGTAGCTGCGCTCCAACGCACTTTTGCCTCAGCGCCTCGACTTCGAATTTTTGTTGTGATGGAATCTCGCGTGAATGAAATCAGTTCAACCGTAATTGCGTAGTAACGTAAAGATCAGTGAGCGAACCGTTACTACTAACTTGCGTGCTCCATAGTCAGTTCAGTTGAACAACTATGAT